CCGCCCCCTGCCCCCCGCAAGCTTCTTAATACATTGCAGGTGAGATATATCTGTGAGTTGAAGCTACTTGTATGAAATGTTGGAATAATGAGTGAGTGCAATCAATTCTGCAAAACAGCTGGTCAGTTCTGATAGGAGAAATATAATCAATTTAACAAATTGGACATGCATTCCACTTTAGACACTGGTGCAAGGTGTCCCATTGACTCAAGAACAAACAGAAGCCAGCCTCTGTCCTCAAGGAGCTTGGAGTCCTGGGGTAGGAACAAAATGTGTGTAAATGACTGTAAGTCCTTTGGTGTTAAGCTAAGAAGGTAAACTCGAAAGTTGATAAAATATATTTGCTCAAATAAAATTATCATCTTTACTGGTTCATTTGGTTTATTTTAAAGGAAAGTAACAAGTTTATTTTTCAATACATAGAGAAGCATAAGAAAAAGAGGTGGGAGAGGCATTTCATAACTTGTCAATTTACGATTTTTTAAGTCTTATTTTTTACACACACACACACACACACACACACACCACACACACCACACAGGTGATGGGGCTGCCTTCCCTCCACTATCCCTGGCAGTAAGGCATCCCAGTGTGAACAGCCAGGGACCACACAAGGAAGGGGTCAGAGCAGGGCAGCACCCCAGCAAGGTCAGGAAATTACTTATTGGAGAATTGAGTAAATAAGTAAAGATATCAAGAATAATGATAACTAGGCTTTTTACTGTCAGAGAACATGAGGTACAAATTTGAGAAGAGGGAAGGAGAAACAACCCCTGCAGCATTAGATTGGAATTAAAGTTTGTCTGGACGAACTCATGGTTTTCAGTGTATACCTAGATAGATACAGAGATATAGAGAGATGAAAATGTGTATATACACATGTGTATGACACATTATGTGTGCAGATATGTATATATTATGTAGGTGTGTATGCATGTATGTATATACTTGCATAGATTTCCTTTCTCTGACCACTGAGAGGGCCTAGGGGCAGCAACATCTCAATAGCAATAAAGCACACCAAGCACACAGATCTTGACTTTTGAATGCCACTTCTCCATTTAAAAAAACAAAAACAGGACATCTTAGATAAATGGCTGATTCCAGGGTGGCTAGCGGCAAGGAAAGAAGACGTGCTTGTGCACATCTTGGTATATCAGGTTTAGGAAGCTGTCACTGGTCAAATCAGGGACAACTTTGAACATCAAAATAAATAATCGTTGTAATGGATCATAACTCATCGATGTAAGTCTCTAAGTACACACTTATATCAATACATATGTACATATACACATACATACATCTTTACATACAACTGAATGGCAACTAATAATGGCATTTGGCAAACTGTTATGCTAACAATTAACTCAGGCAAGAAACATCAATGGAGGCTAAAACTGGTAGATAAAATTGGGATGAGTAGATTTTTACACAGTCTCCAAGTGACTCTCCACAAAATACCTATTGTTACAAAGGGAAAGATAGATAGGTTTGCAGCAGAAAAAAAAAATGTCAGACATCATGTTAACTAATGAATCAGTGTTAACTTCTCCAGCAATGAGACAAGTAGGCAAACAGCTGCCAAGAGAGGATGAAGTAAGAACACAGCATCACTTCTGTGACATTCTGGCCAAAAATTCTGGGTGTTATCATAAGGAAACATCAAACAGACCCAAATTGGCCTTTAATCTTCATAACTCTTCAAGGTCATGGAAAGTAAAAAAACTAAAGAATTGCTTCAGGTTTGAAGTTTAAGCCACATTACAGCTGGGTGTAAGGTCCTGTCCTAGATCATATCCCATTGTTATAAAGGAGGCTAAAATGGAGTCTCTGGGGGAAGGATATATTTGAGTCATTTATACTATTTAACTTTTCTGTACATTTGAAAATGTTTCAAAATTAAAATTATAAAAAGAGGTAATGAGTAAAAGCAATTACTGTAAGGGTAATGGAAGTAAAGTGAGGTGGGGTTCAGAAGCTAGAGAATCCCATTTCCATAGTAACAGAGCCCAGGTCTGCCTTCAGTATTACTGTATCTTGAGAGCCCAACCCAGTCCTTCACATAATTGGCATATGTTGAATGAATTCTTTGGTTAATTGAGCACAGAGAAGGGGAGGTGTCAGCCAAGAAAGTTTCATGAAAGAGACAGAGGTGAAGAGGGGGCAGTGTAAGCACGGGAAAATGAATAAAGGTCACAGAAGTGAGAAAGCAGATAGTACATGAAGCAGCAGGTGGTTGGAGTAGAGCAAATGTTTTAGAACACAAGAGGGGTGATGGTTAGGAAAAGTAGTTCATACAACATAAGAAATAACCTACAATATCAGGGTGAGGTAAGGAAGGAATACTCATTTTGGAAGGCATTTGAAAAAGCTTGTTAGTCCTTTCTAAGCAAAGTCCATTTAATCTTTTTTTTTCTATCTTTGTTCTAATAGAGGTACCAATGCCCAATAGTGTATCCAAGGAGGAAAGAATACAAAGATTAGGGTTAGTCTGCAGTTACATGACAAAATCCCCCAGGGAATTCTACAGGCTTATGTTCCATAGAACCCTATGTTAGTGTTTTGTGATGAAATAATTTTGAATTGGGCTAAATTAACCATATTTTTCTCCTAAATGACTCCTTACTGGGATATTCCAAAAGGAAGAGAATATGCAATTTGACCCAAGTTAACCTCAGTACCATTCCCCACTCCACCTCCATCCACCAGGAGTCTCTAGAGGAACTGCAAAATCACACTCCAGAAAATGTTTGTGTGGATGAGTAGAGGGGAAAAGGCGTATGCCAGGTATTTGTGAACAGCCAGCTAAACCCTGCAAGGCATGTAAGGATTTTAAGTGAAATCAGAGATGAAGTATAAAGTGATTGAACTCAAATGGTGGCAGAGGAGCAAGGCCCTGCACACTATAACTTGCCTACTTCTTTCTTTCGAGCTCTGTCAGTTTCTATGTAAACAGCCACACACAAAGATTGTAAGGATAAAGTCAAGCCCTCCCAAGGGGTCACATGAGCTGACCTCTTTGCGGCACTCTGCTAGCTGTGGCTGGGTTACCATGGATATCAGAAGAGTTAGAGGAAGTTTGCAAGAAAGCATTGATTCATGAACGGGTAAGGGTAGTGCCTATGGCAGTTGGGGTGTAAAATAAGGCAAAAACAAAAATGAAATGAGTGGGGAGAGATTGAGAGGCCAGTTTGATGGAGTCTCAAAGTGCTGCAGGCCTATACTCATTCTCTCATTCTACCAATGCCGACAAGAACACCTTCTTCAGTGAATGTTCCTATTCAGGGTCTGATGACTCTCACTGATAGAGATACAAACATTCAGCCCAGAAGGGGGAATGACTGATGATGTCTGTGGAATTGAAATTCAGCAGCACGTAAAGTATGCACAGTGCCTCTTCAGTGACCATTTTGGACAATTACCAAGTTGAAAGATACATAAGTGCCATGTAAACTTTTCAAACATTCAAGGAGCAAATAGCTCTTCCCTGCATAACTG